TCTACTTGCGCAGCGGGCTTCATTACACCACAGTTGCACAGAATCAGGATATGCTGGTCGATGAGAAGGCCCACACACGCCAGATCAATGGTGGACAGTATACGACGTCTAAGTAATATATGACAGAAACGTATCTTTTCATGACGCATATCCTAACCCCCGCCCCTCTCTTACATTCGCTAAGCCAACAATACAGAATATACGACATGTAGGGAATATACGACATGTCCATACCCCCTAATATACGCAGATGGGTCCAATGTGCTACGGTCGCACAGAGTCATGACGTTCTGGTCAAGAGTATCACTCACACTTGCCGGCCATTGATACACGGTTAACGACATGTACGAAATACACACCATGCACGGAATATGAAACATGCACAGAATAAACGACATGAACGTACCTCTCCATGTATGCAGAGGGGTCCATAGTACCGTACGAAATACACACAATGGGACTATGAAACATGCACAGAATAAACGACGTGAACGCACCTTTCCATGTATACAGAGGGGTCCATTGTACCGTACGAAATACACGCCATGCAAAGACTATGAAACATGCACAGAATAAACGACGTGAACGCACCTTTCCATGTATACAGAGGGGTCCATAGTACCGTACGAAATACACGCCATGCACAGACTATGAAACATGTACAGAATAAACGACGTGAACGCACCTCTCCGTGTATACAGAGAGGTACATAGTACCGTACGAAATACACATCATGCACAGACTATGAAACATACACAGAATAAACGACGTGAACGCACCTCTCCATGTATGCAGAGGGGTCCATAGTACCGTACGAAATACACACCATGCACAGACTATGAAACATGCACAGAATAAACGACGTGAACGCACCTTCCCATGTATGCAGAGGGGTCCATAGTACCACGATCGCACAGAACCATGACGTTCTGGTCTTGATCATCGCCCACACTCGCCAGGTCAATGTACGTATCCTCTAAGCGCAGCATCAGTTTCAACAGGGAGTCCTGGAACGAGGCTATTTGGTCCTGGTTGAGATCGTAGAACTTAACACCGCCACTGTAGTGTGTTGGGGCAGAGGGTGAGGGGATGTAGGCATGGGAACAGGCAGATATGAGATATGAATCTATGTATATACATATGGACACGCATGTCTGACAGACGATAATAATCCATGAGCACATATATCTATGTATACAAGGGTGGATGTATTGGTAGGAGCGTGCAGATGCAAGGTATGTATATCTGTGCGTATATATGTACACGCATGTCTTGACAGATGATAATAATCCATGAGCGCATACATCTATGTATACACGCAGCTTCAATACTGGAATCCTACTCTCATATCTTGAGAGGCCTCACAGTACCGTTTTAAACGTGGCTACGCTAGGGTTTAGGGTTACCATTGTAGGGGTTTTTAGCGCTTGATGTAATGCCGGTCATCTCTCCAATGAATATGTAAGCCATTCATACAGCCGATGTATGCATAGTGTAGAGTGTAGCCTATACATATACATGTACAATCCTTCTCTTAGTGGGGGGTTCTATCATAGAGTTAGGTATCCGTACCCCAAGAGCGAGGTGAATTCACATAGATAGATTATTGGCTTCATACTGGAGTGAAGGAGACCTACAGGTTTTCATTCACAAAAGGGCGTGTGAGGCCTAAGTGTGTGATGAGCTTAAACTCAGGGATAGAATCGCTGTAAAGCACGCTTGATCCCCATACCATCTCGTGGTGAATGAGCAAACTGACAGACACTCTAACTATGGTATAGTAATATACTCGTTGTAGTAATATCTACTGCTCATTGTAGTTGGTATTGCAACATATAGGAGATGAACAAAGAAATACACACACCCCATCAATATAGTTGCTGCCTCGGGAACACAGTACACCTTCCAGCCCAGGTTGGTGAAGAATTCTCTTAGTGTGTTCTGCACGGTTGTCTTCCCACCACAAGGACCTGCAGTGTGTATCGAACACAGCTAAAAGTGTAAGATCTCCCACTTGTCTTTAGCTCTATTGACCTATTTGACATAGAAGACATGCCCAAATACTAATATATATATATATATGTATATATATATATG